GTCTTCCACTGCTTCCACAAGCATTGGGCTTCCTTGGAGATGTTCTTTTATTCTATCCCAAATTATCTTTTCTGACATAGCTGTAGCTGATTTAAGTGCTGTGATATGCAAATCAACAGATGCAGCAACACTTACTGGAATTTGGCCTTTGTTGTTTCCAATCATCATTTTATCGAAGTTAACTACACACTTCCTCGGTATTAAATAGTCCAACCCTAATATGCATTGGTCTTCAATGTCAGCCAAGTATACTTTCTGTCTGTTCTTCATGCCCATGAGCTCAATAGTTACCAACACTGGTCCCCACAAACTTGCATAATGTCCTGTCACATCACAGAGCTTCTGTACAGCTTCTGGTACTCCTTTGTGATCCAGCACCTTGATACTCACAAGGGTTTGCTGAGATGCAGAATCTATGACAAAGTTGCACTTTTGGCCATCCAGCTTTCCAGTCACGTGGACACTGTGTGTGTGCTTGCCATTTTACACTTTGCTGTTGGGACTTTCACGATGGGGGTTGGTTGGCATCTCTCAGCACCAACCACTACTGGTTTCCTGAAGCTGACTTATTGGTAATATTCTTCTTACACTGCCTTCTCAGATGTCCTTGCTCCCCACAGTTCCAACAGCCTTTCTGGGTAGCAGCCTTTCCTGCTATATCATCTCTGCTGTGTTGAAGTTGCCAGCATTGAGCTCTCTTGTGCCCAGGTTTGTTACAATGACAGCAAAGTCCCTTAAACTTCTCTGAAAGCAGACCTTTTCTGGCCTTGAATCCAGATGACTGTACCAACCTTGGTACCTCTGTGCTGGACTTAATGTAGGATTAAAATTCGAGAGCTCTGGCCATTGCATCCTGCATGGTAGAGGGGTGTGCTTGCTTCACTTGTATCTTTAGTTGTGGACTGTCCAAGGCATCTACAAACTGATCCCTCAGCAACAACTTGAGGAGATCGGGTGGTGCAGTTGGGTAGGCCTTGTGTGCCATGCTTTCTAAGTCGTGTGCCAGCTCTTGCAGGCTCTCCCCTTTAGCACGAACTCTCGTCCTAAATCTAGCCCTGTAGACTTCTGACTGATTCTGGGTTCCGTATCTGAGTTCCACAGCCTCCACCAGTGCTCTATAGTTGTGTCTGTCGGATACTGTCAACTGTC